CCGCTTATTCAGACGCAAAGTTTAAAGTAGCCTCGTATAATTTTGGTCACCATGGCATTCCGAAGGTTAAACAAGGTCAATAACCTTAAATAATCATGTGATCTCTCGCTTAGAACAGGTATGTTGATTCCGGGGTCACTTTGGAGACCAGCCTGGAGGTTGATCTTGTTTGACCTCACTTGAATCAAAGGTCATGGCCTAAGAATATCAAACCTTTGGAATGTTGAGTGGGTTCAGGTAACGGCCAACACACTCTGTAAATTTGATGTTTCTCGCTCCCTTAATTCCCCGCGATTTGAACTCGGTCCAAATTGACCCCTCACCCGAGCGAAGGGTTCCAGCCGGCCACCCGGGCGCGTGTTAAGCTGGTCGTTATGAGATGTGTTATTTACAACTCTGATGATTATAACCCTCGGGACCAGTATATTAATGATTGCTTTCCACCTGTTGGCAAGCATTTTTAAAACTCGTATCATGCCGTTTCACCTTTGTGGAGAAGTTTTCGTACCGTTCCAACATTCACCGGTGACAACATTACAGATGAGGTTGCCTTTTGCCTGCTTATCTTCCCTTAGTTTTTCATCACGCCCAACACTTTCGTGTTTCTTTCTACGCAGCTGCCTGCGTGTAATTCGGAAAGAGAAGATTCGGAAGGCGTCGCCAGGCGTTGGTGGTCGTGATTCTGGGCATGTACGGTTGCGAGCCGTCGACACTCCGTTCGTAAATCAGAAGGCTCAGGTTATTGCCTGGCAACAACGCCTCCGACGCCTGGCGTAAATTCCATCCGTTTTACCAGCCATTTTACGCAGGGAGGATGAATGCATGTAGGTCGCACCTATCACAGTTGTGAAACACCGTCCATCGCAATATGGGGCCATCAATATTCGGATGCTGTCTCCCGAGAAGTGCAGCTATTTCACAAAGCATTTCAGCTGAAGTGAGTTTAGCTTCCAAGCATTGCTCTGCCAGGCCGCCATTCCACAGCGTGGAGCGCTCCATTCGTTCTCCGGAGACGCCCAGTGACCGTGGGAACTCTAGCTGCATTGATTCTACGGCTCATTCATGCCTTCACAGCAATGTGTTCCTGAAAGTGAGTGGTATATGTTTGCCCTCGAGTATCTCGCCAGTGTCTCTTTGGGTTTGTATCTTCATAATACGACGTATGTGAAGCAGTATGTGCATGTATGCGCGCGAGGGTGTGTCAAGAATGTACCTTTCCTCAGAATCCCTTGTCTAGGCGATACCTTAGTTGTCGTCTTTATGAAAACAAGTTGGCGCGACAAATTAATTATCCGACTCAGCGTAGCGGTTTCCCATTCATCTATGCCATCCGGGTGGCTGGCATGTTCTGGTGAGTCGGGTTTGGAAAACGTTTTAATCAGCGCACCAGTGAGTCGTCCCGAATACAAAGGCGCTCTGCGTGATACGTGATATCCGTAAATTTACAGCCCGCCAGCTTTTCTTGCACAATATGAAACCCAGTCATGTATAACTGCGTTTTTTTCAAAATAGATATCCTGCTTTAGCTTTTATAAGAACTGGGGAGCGAATTATGTGGCCCCTAGGTGCTCCGAGTTGGGTTGTGAGTCAATCCTACAGGTTGTGAGTCAGGATCTCCTCCGCTGAAGCGGAACCGAGCACGAGTTTGACCCGATGAATGTTCATTGGCCTATTGACCGACACTAAACACCTGGCACCATTCAGTGGTCCCATGACTTTTCCGGGCCATAATTTGAGAGCGCGGATCGGTGCGCTGTCAGGGGAAGCTGCTTCTCAAGAGTTTGATACCAGTGCTCATTTGGAAACGACACGGATACGGTTACGTTATACGGATACGGTTACGTATACGTTACGGTTACGATAACGGATAGGTTAGGTTAGGTTAGGTTAGATTCGTGGAGTATTGAAGAGGTTCGGCGAGTTCTTCATTATGAATCGTTTCCCCACAATTCCAAAGCGAACTTCCATATCTGTCCACTGAAAGAGAGACAAGGACATGACCGTTGGTAAGAACATGAAAAGATGTATATAATGGCCAAGATTCGGTCCGTTACTGTGTGGTAGCGCACATACTAGAACGCCGCTCTTCACCTCTCGACCTAGAATGAATTGCCTGACGATGACATTACATGTAACGGTGTTGGTGTTTTTTTCCGCCACAGCTGATAACATCTTGGAGTCATATTCACCCAATACGAGATCTTAGCCTTTAAAAAGGTATTCGCTGTAGCTCACTACTTTGGATAAAAGCTTTCCTAGCACATACCCGACAAGAACTCCACGTGCCATTCTCATATGATAAGCCCGCCATAAGTTGTGATAACGTTTTATCCTTTCCGTTATTGAAGTCCAGTGCGGTAATTGTGTCACGTTTCATTCGATCAACGCCAGTTTCCTGCCGACGTTGTGTCTGGGTGTATCAAACATGTTTGGAGTCCATAAACAGCGGCGCTCAGATGAGCTTAAGGGCACGCTGTGTGACTAAAACATAAGGTTATAGTGGCAGCTGCTGTATCTCACTTTCGATATATATATATATATATATATATATATATATATATATATATATATATATATATATATATATATATATATATATTTCCTAAGCCGTGGGTGTATGCCGGACATGCTTGGGATAGCGATCACTCAGATCGATGGTGATCGCGATCGCATCAGAACACGGATCAGAAAGCTCGGGAGCCTTATCCACGCCTGGCGCAGACGTCAAGGCTGCATCAAGAGCAACAAAAGGTGTTGAAATGTTGCTTTATCCTGCTGGAAACATCCCCGATCAAACTCTTGGCAGGTTTTCGTTCCCTGTCTCATCTGTAGCGTATCCATGCGATCAAACAGTGCTACAAGCATTTTACGAACGACACGCCTTTGTCATGGAGTTAATGAACAAATTGTTCTCAGCAAGCATTGCATCATACCTCAGCTGATAAGCGTTTTGTATGGAGTGGACAGTTTCGTCTGGCCTGACATGGTTTGCACGCACTCAGCCGATACATTCCTTCGTTGGAGGCACTCCCTTTCCCCTTCTTCAGATGCATGCTTTCCGTATTGTCGCAGTACTCGAACTGCACTTGTCTAAAATTCAACGACGGCTTCAATTTAACGTTTTATTTTTGATCTAAGCCAAGGCAATCCGCAAGTAACAAGCTCATTTACGAAGACAGTCAAGTTTTAAAAAAGCTAAGTGCACGATGCACGACAAAACTAAAAACCTAGTGACACATGCACATACATATTGCACGCAATCGCTAACATACAGTCCACACACATACGCAATGGTCATCACAGGAACACTCAGCGAGCACCGGTGAACTAAGACAAATCGAATCGAAATTATTACGGCAATGGAAAAGCCTTTTGAGGCGGCATGCAAAATGCAAAATAAAAAACACCGGGACTGGGAACCCGTACCCAAACACATGAAAACTCGGTGTTGCTGTTCAAATTAGGGATCGTTCGAATCTGGCGAGTTGTGAAAGGGCAGCACCTATTCATATACGTTGTCTTTGCTGCGTTTACATGACACACGTACCTCCTCCACGGCATGTGAGCTGCGCTGCTCATCCCCTTTGTGTAAAGCCTTTGCTTGAAGAACCACACGTTGAAAACTCATGCAATAACATGACTGCTGGCGGCGGGGCGCCTTTGTGTCGTCCTCATTCAGGATAGGCGAACGTATCTTCTTAAGGGTTCTGGTACGCAAGGTTATCAGGGGAGCCGTCTGTATTTCAGGTCAAGTGGACTGTCGGAGCACGATCTTAGCATTTTCCGGACGATCCAGTGGACCCAGGAATTGGCAATAAAAGTGAAATATGCCAACATTTTTAGTTCATCTTGGTGAACAGTACGCAACATGGTTTTTCAACCTTAAAATTTAAGGAGGCCCCTCGAAGGCCGTGTCAGGTCTAGCGCTCATGTTTAGCCCTATGTGCGATGATGCGGCCGCAAGTCCCGGCCGCAACCAAAACATCATATTCTACCGGTCGGGTTGGCGCCAAGTTATCAAAGGAGCGGACACGCTCGGGAGTGATCGTGCAGGTGTGAAAAAGTGCCTTTTCTGTCACCGACGGAATTTGAAACCGCCTGATCTGGCACCTGGGGCCAAGTCTTTCAGAAACCGTTGGAATGTAACTGCGATACACCACTAAAATGAAAGGCAAAGAAAATGCAATGCGACATAACCATCAAACAGTTTCGTTCAGGAGTTCATTTGTACTTAAGTATCACTTGCTGGTCATCAAACACTAAATGATGAATGAGACCAAACTAAGTAAATTATGAGATACAGGCATACTTAACATAAACAGCTGAGGGACGCATAGTTTTCTGTTCAATTTACGGGATTGTGTACCTAACCAGGGACCAGGGGTGGTAAAAGTGTGCTTTCTGTCGCCGACCAAATTTCTACAGGCAAAATTGTCGCCAGCAGCGTACAGCGATGCCACATGACAATAAAATGGTACGAAGTCCACCCTCAGCAGCGTCATCAAGAATCGGCTTATCACCAAATGCAGCTTTCATCACCGCAACTTTCGATATCACGCACCCAACCAAAACGCTCAATTACACGCTGTCCTTCAACTAATGTCAGGATAACTGCTGCTGCTAGGAAGCGGGCACACCGCCCCTAGACTATGGGACATCCTAATCACAGCAGCAATTTTCTTTCTTCCACCCTCGGGACTTGCCGGGGCCTCACGTTTAAACTCGATCTACGGTTTTTATTTGTTTTCCTCGACCAGGAAAAAACAACGAAGCACCTCGATAGCCAGTGCAACTGAATACCTACATCAAAGGTAAAAAACCTCTACTTGCCACGAACTTAGGAGACATATATCAACGCTAGCCTATCATGAAAATACACTGAAATGCTCTCATTGTTCAAAAGTTCTATGGAACGTATTTTTCACACAATGTTGAGTGCGATGAACTTGCGCGCATTATAACACTGAAAGCGAAAAATACGTTTTAGTGGCCTGAACCTTTTCAGCATCGCCGTGCGGGCAGACAGTTTGTGGCAATTCGTGAGCGCACTCTGTCTCCCAAATTTTCGAACACAGTCATTTTAGCTCAATTCTCAACCCGCTCATCGTCCTCAATGCGCAGTCTTCTTAGCACAAAAAAATGACCGCTCACTGACGGCGTAAACTCACCATATGAACTCTAAATGGCACCATAATGTCGCCAACTTGAGTTTGTGCATCAGCATGTGGTACTTGCTTGTGCCAGCTTGTGCTTGTCTTCATCCTGTTAAGATGTTCAGCTCCCTGCAAGTTGTGAAATTTAGTTATTTTGTTTCTGAAAGACACTAGAAATTTGCCAGATTTGACGGAACTCCATTGGGACAGCACCCCAGCCAAATTATATTTATGAGTTGCTATGTGTAACGTTTTGGGATAAACTCAGCACGTCAAGGTAAGGTTTTTAATATCCAGTGATATTTTAAGTTTTAAAACCGCTTGCCTGACGGACAGGCCACAAATGAAGCCAGAGACTGCGCTGCCTTTTGAGCGAGATTCCGGCTGGCTGACACATTCCATTGAAATATTTGTCGTGTTCAGCGAATTAAGAAAAGCTTAAAACCAACAGTCGTTTCAAATCAGTGTCTTCTAACGTGCGTTTGATATCGTGAAGTGAGCGAACATTCGAATTCTCTTAAAAAATATCTCACAGATAACTGATGATGCTAGTTTCAGGAGTGCTTTTATGTTTAAGCTTTGGGAAATTTTTTGGGTCTGTGCCAAGTGGTCTAAATTTGGTGACAGAATCATGCATTGAAGTGTGCTAGGTAAAACAGAACCATAGCTTGCGCATAGCTCCCAACCCATGTAGCGCAAGATTTGGGATGCATTCAGACTTAATATCTCACTGACATCTTTATTACAGCTTGACAGGTGGTGTATGGCTTCATAAAGCAATAATCGCTCCGTATACTGAGTTGGTGTCCCATGAGAAGCAAGCCACACCATGTGTGGCTAATTGATGTCTTGGTTCATACGAGTAATGCATAGCTTGGTTATTTTTTGTACAATATGGATGCCTAGAACATATGATATCATTATAGTGATGGAGTACGGCGTATTTTAGGTAAGGCGAGGGAGTCCGCTACACTCACTTTTTCAGTGGATAAATGAAAGGAAATCTTTGAAGCCATTCCTCTGTTTGGAAGATATTAATATAAGCTCACCGGCTGACAGGAAGGAAGTACAACTAACTTACCCAAAAATTATAGCAGGTGAATGCACTTGAACATGAGGATCAACAACCTCCACATTTAAGAGCCATCTTCCTTTTTTGCTGCAATCATGTTAAGGAGACAGTTCAGGTCATTTATATTTTGTGGGAGACAGGCGTAGGCTTTTTTACCTCTGACTTGCAGGGCCGAATTTGAACCGGTAGCAGACAGCAGCGGGAGATTGCGTCCAATATGCGGGCCTCCTCGAGGCCATGCCCCTTATAAAAATCCCGTGTGCTCTTCCAGCCCCATCTCAAACGTCATCAAGCTCCCCGCCTTATCTTAGGCCTGGCGCAGGTGTTAACTGGTGGGTGCCTTTCGCCGTGTCCCAAAAAGTGAATTCCTTGGAACTATGTTAACAACTCCACATCAGGCTGCTGATTTCTTCGGAACATACTTTCTCTTAGAGGAGGTGGACGGGGTCGACTCGACGTCCCCTCCCCCCCCCCCAAAGGTTTTCTGAGGAATCCAATCCGGTATATTGTGCAGTCGCGCTCAAATCTTTGCGAGCCTTTGGGACATCTATTTTGCATGGGGTTAACTTGAAAAACTTGTGCCTTACATTTTTGGTTTCGGATTACCGACGGTTTTCTAGGAGCACCGCGAGACGATCGAAATTCGGTGAGGGGGGGGGGGGGGGGGCGGCGGGCGGCGGGCGGCGATTTCGCGGACCGCGCGCGGTGGGCTGACACTGTTGCATTAGCGAAGCCCTACATTTTAACCAAAGGCTCGAAATAGCTAAAACTACACACCATTCCCCCACGAACTAAACGAGGACCGCGCCTGTTAATGTTTCATGTTTCTGCGCTACATGATTTCGTACATGTGCGCATGCAAAGCTGAAATAGTGTGATTTTGAGGAAAATTTGATTTTGGACTTGGTCTAGTGTGTTCAGTTAACGCCAGAATTCTTACCAATCCCGAGATCTCGTTAATGACAACCGAACTTTTTTCCACGAGGCTCTACCTTTATTGATTACAAGCGACATGGGGTCGCCCTCTATCAGTCTGCGTTATGAAAGCCGGCGAATCAAGGTAAGGGTTAAAAATTGTTAGCTACCATCCTTCTTTACTCATTGTACATGTGCTGGAGTAAAAAACTGCATCTCAAATCAGGAAAAAGATGAGCTGGTACAGCAGAATGACAAATTAAATTAATAACATCCAAGCATTGGTAAAAATTCAACCCGAGAGGGAAAATTGCCCTTTGCGTGCTAAGCGGCATGTAAATCCAAGCTTACCGGTGATGATTGTCATCTATAAGGCAGGAGTGTCAGTTCAAATGATTGTCTCGGGCACTGCCCAACTGCCATGTTGGGTTGGTCCGCTCAGTGCTGGTCTCCACTCGTACACACACACACACACACACACACACACACACACACACACACACACACACACACACACACACACACACACACACACACACACACACACACACACACACACACACACACACACACACACACACACACACACACACACACACACACACACACACACACACACACACACACACACACACACACACACACACACACACACACACACACACACACACACACACACACACACACACACACACACACACACACACACACACACACCACACACACACACACACACACACACACACACACACACACACACACACACACACACACACACACCACACACACACACACACACACACACACACACACACACACACACACACACACACACACACACACACACACACACACACACACACACACACACACACACACACACACACACACACACACACACACACACACACACACACACACACACACACACACACCACACACACACACACACACACACACACACACACACACACACACACACGCAAACAACACTTCTAACTGGAGTATTGCAAAAATATGTGAAGAAATGCTAACTTTAACACAAGCCTATCTCCTCTTGGCTTTATTTGTTGACCATGACCTAATCCTGGCTGACAAATCTGTCAAAAGTACTTATCTAAGGGGCACTGCAAAATCACCCTGTCGCCACTGAATCTGTGACCTTAGCACTCATTTAGTACAGTTTGTAATATATTTTTGCCGTCGCTAAAAGCTATTCTGACTAAAGCTGCTATGCTTTGCAATATCTCGTGGCTTAACTTGTTCATACAGTAAAACGTCAGCGTCTCGACATGTGATCTACACATGCTCATGCCGCATGAGTGGGCGAGTACAAACCAATGCTAAGCTTTAAGCTTCGTCTAGCTGGGAAAGTCTGTTGTAGTATGGTCAGGCCTATTTTAATTTGTTTTCGTTGTCACAATTTCTTCACCAATTGACTCGCGGAAGTGTCCGTTTTTTGTCATTGATCATATCCAGTAAATCAGAAGCCTGTTCACCCTGTGATCGTCCCGTGGCAGGTCATACGCACGAAAGGGAGTTCCCAATGATGTGCGGAAAGGGAATGTTTGAGCGCCGGTGTTGGTCAGAACGCCTATGCCGAGGGCAAGAGGAAGTCTAATCCTATGCAATAGATGACATGGTCATTGAATGTTTTCCAGCGATGTGCGTCAGGATATTTCAACCTCCATATTCTGACTGAGAGAAGCTTCTATCGGTTTCGATAAGGATGCCCTGTTATGAACGACAGGAGTTCTTCGTACTGTGACGATGTTGTGTGATGAAGAGCCACCGGACGGCAGTACTCCCTATATGTCCGCCAGCGGCCCGACGCCCTATATTGAAAATATTTTATCGTTTTAGGTCAGTGGTCTGGCAGAAAGCTCTCGCGTGATTGATTAAACCGCGTGGCTTGGTTACAATACTTCAACACTAAGTTCCAAGGGGGTTGGTTTGCGTATGTTTACAGAGAAACGGATGACGCCAGGCTTGGAAAGCGTAATTAACTTGGCTATCATTGGCACCTGTATGAAAAACATGTATGCGTAATTATTTCATGTATTAAAAAATAGTTGCAGACAGTGTCCTGGAATTGCCGACCTTGGGTGTAAAACAACACCCTATGAGGAGGAATTTTTCACTGCCTTTGCTTTACAGACAGTGTCCTAGAATTGCCGACTTGGGTGTAAAGCAACACCCTACGAGGAGGAATTTTTCACTCCTTTCCTCATATTTTATGTGAATTTTTCACTGCTGCCTTACATTGTCTAATAGCACATGCCAACCCTATTTCCCTTTCTGAGGTTTTCAGATGTCATCCAAAACCGAGCTCACTTGAAGCCGCCAAACATAAACGAGGCTCCGCAGAACCTGGACACCAATGACTATGTCCTGCCTCACCTACAGCTGAATCATGCCTATGTATGCACAGAGCAAAGGCGCCAGGTACCTCCAAGCCCAAGAACCCCAGCGACCCCAGCCGCTTGCACGCATATGTTTAGTTTGTTTACAAAATGCCTCACAATCTGCATCTGTGCGCCATTTGCAAGGTTTTCACGCATCCCCTATTTTTTTGGTCTCACCACCACGCCACAAAAGCAGAGCCTGGTGCAAACACCAGCAAAGCCTGGTAGATAATTTTACTCCACGTATTTCTTTTTTCCCGAGGAAACTTTACCACTAAATTGCATCACTTCCGAAATGCATGATTGAAATGTTCAAGAAATGTCTTCTAAATTAAACTTACAAGATGAATATCACCATTTGAGCTCTTATGTTAACAGATTTTAAGTCAAATCAGCTGATTACAAAATTTTGCGAGAAAAGTACTAGTCTTTATATTTATTTAGCTACTTTTGCTTTTCTTGGTATCATACCAATGTGATACCATTTTATTCTTCCTTCCTTTTCGATTGTCTTAAGAGGTACCATCTGCTGCTTAAAATTTTGACCAATTTCTCTGCAAGATGCTCCAACTGCAAACTTGTACGTATTTCATACATAAATTGAATTAATTTGCCAGCCGCCCAAACATGTTTGATATGCACCCAAGTGTGAACAATTCACAGGGAATGAAGGAGACAATTTGGAGCACGAAACTCATTTTTACCGCCATTTTTACCCTCTTAAACCTTCCGGTTAACCGTTTTCTTGGTTCATGGCGGTGCTCAGTGACGATAAATCCAAGCCTTTCGAGTGTTTGACTCACCAGGCTACCTGGTAAGACTATTCTAATGCTGCCATATAAAGCCTTGGGACAGACTTGACGCAGCTAATGCAGAAGTGTTGGA